AGGGCTGTAAGCCCTATGAAGTGGTATATAAATCTAACTGCTATTGCTATTGCTAATCTCACCAGCTCAAGGTTGACTCAGCCTTCCATCTTCCATCCTTCCAAGGTGGGTAAAATGAGGACCCGGATTGTTGGGGGCAATATGCTGACTCTGTAAACCGCTTAGAGAGGGCTGAAAGCCCTATGAAGCGGTATATAAGTCTAACTATTGCTATTGCTATTGATTCTATTATTCTAAATTCAGTATGGGTTGAAGCGTGGGAAGGAACCAGGGGGTTAACTTGGCTTCCAATTCTTCAACCCACATCTCCAGTCCCAAACTCTCTTGCACTTTTTCCTTGAAGGTCACCCTATAGTGCAGGGATACCTGAGTCTCAAATATAGATCTGCGTATCTTAAAAAGATGACTTTGTTCTAAAAAAAAAAAAACATCGGTGGTTGGGTGGTGTTTTGTTTTGATGAGCAGGGTTTGAAAGAATGCTTGGCAGGGTTTTTTAAGCTATTTTTTTTTGCGGCTGGCCGTATCTTTTAAAAAAACAACAACAAATGAAATAAAATATTTCAGGAGAAATCGAATTACGCTTGCGGAGCTGAGTTTGAGATAAGCACCTTAATGAGGTGTTTTTTTTTTTAACTCAACGATAAAAATAAAATTCGTAAACACCACCGCCTTAGCTACGGATGATTAAAGAAATAAATAAAAGGAGTTGCAGCAAAAGCCTCAGAAATGTTAGGGCTCAGCTAAGCCACGTACTGATTCTGAGGGGATTTGCAGATGTTTAAACAGTGCGTTCTTTGGGGGTAATTATTTTTTTTTGTGATAAACGTAGGTCAGAACCTTGGGCATTTTAAGAGGTGTGGACTTCAATTCCCAGAATTCATGGCTTGCTGAGGAATTCTGGGAGTTGATATCCGCTGATCTTAAAACAGGGTAGCTGTGGAATTCTGGGCATTGGGATCCACGCGTCTTAAAGCATTTTGGATGAGAATTCTGGGAGCTGAAGTCCACGCATCTTAAAACATACTGGCTGGGGGACTTCTAGGAATTGAAGTCCTCCTATCTTATAGCGTGCCAGTTGAGGAATTCTGGGTGCTGAGGTCCACCATATAGCATAAGATTCCAGATTCCAACTTCTGGGAATTGAAGTCTTCCTATCTTATAGCATGCCAGTTGAGGAATTCTGGGTGCTGAGGTCCACCATATAGTATAAGATTCCAGATTCCAACTTCTGGGAGTTGAAGTCCACCTATCTTCAGAGTTGGAAGGGACTTTATAGATCATCTAGTCCAACCTGCTTAAGCAGAACACCCTACAACATTTCTGACAAATAGCAGTCCAATCTCTTCTTGAAAGACTCAAGTGATGAAGCCCCCACAGCCTCTGAAGGCAACTTCTGTTCCATGGGTTGATTGTTCTCACGGTCAGAAAATTACTCCTTATTTTTAGGTTGAATCTCTCCTTGGTTAGTTTCCATCCATCCTTGTCG